TATTTAAAACTGGCTGTTCAATGCAATATTTCCCCTGGTTAAACACATCTCAACATCGAGGTAAAACCCTTTTAACCATATCTGTCACTATTAAAAACTGGCCATTAAGGCAACATTTCCCGAGTTAAACACAGCTCAATACCGACGAAAAACCTTTTTAACTGTGTCTGTGCCACTAAAAACTGACCGTTAAGGTAACATTTCCCCAGTTAAACACAGCTCAACACCGAGGTAAAACCCTTTTAACTGTATCTGTGTCATTATTAAAAACTGAACGTTAAGGCATCGCTTCCCCCAGTTAAACACAGCTCAATACCGAGCTAAAACCCTGTTAACTGTATCTGTGCCATTATTTAAAACTGGCTGTTAAGGCAACATTTCCTCTGGTTAAACACAGCACAATACTGAGCTAAAACCCTTTTAACCGTATCTGTGTCATTATTAAAAACTGCCCGTTAAGGCACCATTTCCCCAGTTAAACACAGCTCAATACCGAGGTAAAACCCCTTAAACTGTATCTGTGTCATTATTAAAAATTGGCTATTCAAGGCAACACTTCCCCTGGTCAAACACAGCTCAATACCGAGCTAAAACCCTTTTAACCATACCTGTCACTATTAAAAACTGCCCATCAAGGCAACACTTCCCCCAGTTAAACACAGCTCAACACCAAGGTAAAACCCTTTTAACCATACCTGTCACTATTAAAAACTGCCCATTAAGGCAACATTTCCCAAGTTAAACACAGCTCAAAACCCAGGTAAAACCCTTTTAACCATATCTGTCACTATTAAAAACCGCCTGTTAAGGCACCATTTCCCCAGTTAAAAACAGCTCAACACCGACGTAAAACCCTTTTAATCACATCACTATAAAAACTGCCCGTTAAGGCACCATTTCCCCATTCCAGGCTCACCATGTGCCGCCGCAGGATGGTCTGGCTCTTCATGTACTTGAGGCAGAACTCGCACATGTAGAGGCGGCCGAGGCGCGCGTACTCCTCGGGGTAGGGCGAGTGGTACCACGTGTCCAGCTCGTAGCGGCCGAACGCGATGGTTTTGATCATGTTGCTGCCCTCGGTGATCTGGCCCTGCAGCCGGAGCTTCTCCTGCCCAGGAGAGTCAGAGGAAATGTTGGTGGGAAGAGGATGGGGGAGAATTGGGAGTTGTTTTGTTGGAGATTTGATTCGGCGTCTCTGGCATGTCCAGAACCCCTGGTACACCTGGAACCTCCAGAACCTCCAGAACCCCTGGCACCTCCAGAACCCCTGGCACCTCTGGAACCCCTGGCACCTCCAGCACCTCTGGAAC